CATTTAAATCAGCTGTGTTGGATCAAGGACACATCTAAAGCCTGCAGGCCCGCGAGGCCTGGAGTCCCCCCACCCCTGCTATAGAACAAACCTTTTATTTAGACTGCCTAACTGCATCTGTACCCCATGTGGCTAACCGGCATGTTATGTTCTTTTACATGTTTGTGTAAAAGAAAGAAAGAAAAAAATTGTATATACTGATTTTAAATAATATCAACAATTATCAATAAATCAGGAAATAAAAAAACAATATGGTCGGTAGAGCATTGATTAGATAATTCACCTATTTAAATATACTTGAAAAGCTCGGGACACCATTCATCTGTAGTGAGTGTGCTCAGACAGCAAAGTGACTCCGGACTAGACCCACTCCCACTAAAAGTGTATATATCCACGTACACTGACAGTACACTGTTTACCTCAGCTGACAATGATGTGTGAGAAGTGTCCATGTGTGTTTACTCTGGAGCAGGCTGTAAAACTTTGTGGAAGGACTCTGGTAAAATTAGACGACTTAGTGAAGCTCATTTCTGTCTGAGGACAACATTTATTCTATTAAATAACCTCAAAGAGTTACTGAGTACTTTTTAACCTGTAATTCTGAGAATTTTGTTGTCAAAAAGTATCTGTGAGCAGTTTTTACCATTAGCCATGAATGACTGATGGGATATTGTCGTCAACCCACTGGGTTCGGTAGTGTGGACACCCAAGTTTGTGAATGCAATAACTTGAAAACGAGCCAACGTAGGATTTTTGAGTTAAAAATCTAAAAATCTAACACAACTTGTCTTTTTGTCTTTTCATCAGAAGCTGGAAAACTGCAGAATAGAACCAGCCTGGTCCTTTAACACAGCAGACACATTTTAACAGCCCACTTGCTGAAGTGACAAAACAGCTCTCACAGCCTCCTTCACTCCCAGAGTCATATAAACACACACACAGCTTGTGATACTATATTATGCATTCATACTGTATAGATAAAACCTGAGCTCACAGTCTCTGAGCCAGCGTGGCGACTGTGGCAAAGCTATAAAAGCCGTCTGGAGTCTTAACTGCTGCAGTAAAACCATTTCTCTTTATTCCTTCACCGCTGCAGATTCCGCCCGCGTGTTTTTCCATTTGGTTTGTCGGGTTGCAGAAGCAATCAGCGATTTCAAAAGAAGCTGAGATGAAACGATGGAGCAAAAAACGATCAAACACTAATATTATAGTAATCAAAGCAACAACATAATAATATGATTTATTATCTTAGTTATTACCTTCGATACATTGTTTCGTCTATAAATCTAAGCATACCTCTCCCAACACGATGTCTTCCAGGCGATAGACGGTATCCACCAGGTGGGGGTGTACTGCCTGGCTCTGGTCCCCTCCAACACTCTGCCCAAGACTCCACTGGGTGGCATCCACCTGTCCGAGACCAAGCAGCTCTTCCTGGAGGGGGCGCTGCACCCCTGCAACGTGCTCATGTGTCCGCACACCTGCGTAACGAACCTGCCCAAACCCCGGCAGAAGCAGCCAGGTACAGTACGAGGACGAGCGAGTACGTGAGAGCACAGTTATAGAGGCTCTTATAGCTTATAGAACAACTTGATGTCACATATAAACACACTAGATGTCCTTAAGTGGAGTTTTTACACACGCAGGATTAATTTTGTGGGAAAGGAGTGCTTTAAAGAAACCAGTAAGCTTTCTAAGCTGTTTCACTCACTAAATCTGCGTGACTCAAATCAGTGTGAAACATCACAACCCCTCCTGCCTCCTCATCTGAGCTTGAAATGATGGGCAGCATGTCACTGTATGTGAATGTGACTTCTGACAAAATAGCCGAACGCTGGCTTCAGTGATTGGATGTGTTCACCGTTTCCAGCTCAGGCAAGCAGAGGTGTCAACCGGAGTTTAGATGGAACGACCCAAACAAAGAAAAGAGAATCGAAGACAAAAATGTTCCAAGAAAGCACAAATTAAAAAATCAGCTTCTCAATTTGGCCGCCCCACTTCCAGGGTCCTGATGTTGTGCGTGCTGACTCACAGTCGGTCTGTCACGGCCCTGTGCGGCGCTCGATTACATCGCAGCCATTGTTGACAGCTGTGCGTTTCCTGCCGTGACAATTCAATCCGTATTTTTGCATTTATATGTTTTTTAACTATCGTTGACTGTAATCAGATAAAAATGTAGAATCTGTTTATTGTATTTGCTGAATGGGCGGCTTGATTCTGCGTGCAACAACTTCTTGTTCATACCGAGCTCTCGTCCCCGTCTCCCTGCTCCTCCTCCAGAGATCGGTCCTGCGTCTGTGATGGTCGGGAATCTGGTGTCGGGAAAGAGGATCGCCCAGGCCAGCGGCAGGGATCTGGGTCAGATCGAAGACAATGACCAGGCAAGGAAGGTGTGTGTGAGAGAGGGGGTCTGCTGGTTTTCTGCATCATCGCCATCATCATAAACATGACACACACAAAGTACACATAATTAGGCATCTGGCTTCATTTCATGTCTTACTCCATTACGACTTATTCTCATTAATAACTCACTCAACAGAAAGTGTTAATGGTACCTTAATGGAGTCCTTGTCTGCCGTGTAAAGCACTGTAAACAACTCTCGCCTAATTTAATTGGTCTAATTAACTTAGTTGTGCTAGTTTTTGAAGCTTACTGAGTTATGTTGAGTTATCCGTACCTTCGTCCAACAGACTGAGGAGTGTGTTTGTGCGTACTTGTTTCCTTTTAATAATTCATGGCTTGTTTTTTGAAGTACAGAACACTTTGCATTGGCAAAGCCTCGCAGTGCCCCATGGGACTATTAATGTTTAACTCTGCTTGTGCTGTGATTGTTATTTCAGTCATTCCAGTCATTTTGTTGAGGCTGTGCGATGTGGTTTCCAGTGTTTGCGTAGCTGACAAAAATGTTAAGGTTTAGCTGTTGTTGGCCACCATGACTGAGGCTCCTGCAGCGCTGAATAACTCCCGGTGAGTGTTCGTGTTCCAGGTCGGTGCCCAGATGTTAATAAAAGCAGCGTTCCTTTAACGCTGCGCAGATGTACGGCTGAGGCTCGTCCGGCTGAGCTGGCTCTGCTTGACTTGAATAAGGGAAGAGAGCCTGTATTACTTATATCAGAAGTGAACTTTGGAGCCGGCTAGCAGAGCGGCCGAGAGCTCTGCTCCCCATAATGGCGAGACGGGGCGGTGAGCAGAAGACGAAGACCTAAGGGAGCGAGTGGGAGTGTCAGTGTGGAGTCAGTCGCACAGGTAGGGAGGGGCCAATATGGATGCATTGAAAAGTGGGAAACATTATTTTAAAATAATTTAAATTACTGAATAGAGGACAAGATTTAGGACTCATCAGGCAAGTTGGGGAAAGAAAAAACCTTGCTAAGGAGCAAAATTAGTTTTTCTCTTCCAACTTTAGCATCAGCACCACACTTACAGGGAAACCCCCACTTGTGGTTAAATACCTGGGACTCTACACGAACAACTGAAGAAGCCTCTTGGAGGAGAGGAGAACTGTCCTCATGAACAAAAGGACTCAGGTTAAATAAACTGCATTTAACTGTTTTCCTTTGGCATAAGACATTAAGTTCATGTTAGTCATTCTCACTGAATAACTAGTTAGTATAACTCGGCACGCTTAAGTTGTCTTAGCTTTTTTATTTTATTGTATTTTTAAGAAAAGCCAAATTTTTATATTCCTGGTGGATCCACAGAAGAATGATGAGTTTTGGGGCTTAAAAAAAGCAAACATGGGATTTTTTTTTATCATCTTTTTTTTTTTGCCCGGTATGTTTAAGCATCTGTACAGAAAAACTTAGTGTTATGCAAGAACAGAAAGCGGGCAGCATGCACAAAAGTAAATAAGGAAACCAAAAGAAAACACAGATGAGACAAAATGAGGTGATTTAAATACACAGTAGAGAGACGGAGAGATTAGGAGTGATGAATAGCAGGAGGTGGTGTGCGTTACTGACAGAAGCGATTTTCCTCTCGTCTCTCGTGCTGAAAATGTCATCAGTCAGGCAGCCGGCAGCAGAGAGCGCACACTCTGTAGACTCTGATGAAAAGAGACAGGCCCTAAATAATAACAACCACCACCTCCACCGCAGCGCGCTGGGAGGCTGCTGCAGCCTCAGCCTCGCTCTCAGCATGCCGCATGTGTGTTTGGATGCCGACAAACAGATGAGATGTCTCCTGTAGTGTGTGTAGATACAGCTGTGTGCAAAGGTTACGACACCTATCGACGACTGTCGAGGTGAGGAGAAGTGAAGCCGACATTAAAACACAAGCTTTTCTTTTTGTTTCTTCACTGCACGGTCGTTGCACAGCAATTATGGCGTTTGCACAAGTTAAACCGAGAAGACCACAGATAAGCTAACAGGCGTCCATACGCAGGAGGAGCACCAGCATAGAGGCGTTTTCCACAGATATAGAAACACTAGTGCCTTGAGTTCTTGATTGGTTAAGGCTGCTTATTGAGAAGCTATGCACTAACAATTGATTCACATCAAATTCTAACTTTTTTTGTCATTTTTCTTCTCACAATTTAAATATATTTAATCTCAAATCAGCGGTTTCCTAAAACATCCAGATTTCTGTTCTGCCACTTAGGAAACTCTGCTAAAATAAGACAGTTCACAAAATAATGACAAATGAAACTGGGATGATCCCAGCAGTGATGATCCGCTCAGACTGGGACACAAACTGCGGCTCGGCTCGACTGCAGAATAATCCAGGAACGGGTTACATATTTGCTTTAAATGCGTTGATTGATGTTTTGAAGGCAGGTTTAATTTGAAGAGTGTGTTTGTGTTTTAGTTTTTACTGTGAAAATCCTGAAGCGTGCTGAGGGTGACGCCATCTTTGCTCTAGAGAAGGATCAGGACGTAGGGTTTGTGTTTACTGCTGCTGCTTGGCCTCATCATCACCGTGTTTATTGGGACATTTGTTGTCTGATCCGCTCATTCATTCATCGCTCCACTTTACCCCACTTCCTCCTTCCATGTCCATCCCACTGAAAACCAGGCCCTCTGTGTGGATGAGTGAAACAACCCCAACTTCCTGTATTTATTAAAATGTTTTCTGTGTAACTTCATAGAGACTAAAATATGATTCACTACGAGTGTCTTCTCACATTCCTCTTCTAATAACGTTGATTTGCCCGGCGATGGTTGACTGAGCACTAAACGCTCACACTGGGATGAGCTCAGCCTCTGTAGACAGGACTGCTTGTCTCATGACTTCATGGAAAATTATTATTTCATTACGGCTGTTTCCATAAAGCAGCATGAAAAAAACAAACACAAAGAAGAAACTGTAACTTATGGAAGAGGATTAGAGCCACTGGGGGGAAAAAGGAGGGGGCGTCCTTCTTTTTCTTTGCAAGAATTCTGACGTTAAACTCAGAATTCTATCAGCGAGTTTCAAGTGTTTCTATTTTTCTAATAACCCAGGCTTCTTTTTGCAGACCGTAACAATCAAAGTGAATAAAATCTGTGGCAAATGCTGATTTCAGCATTCACACATACAATGGTCACATATAATTCAGTAATATCCAAAAAGGAGCTTTTATTTCCAGGTTCTAATGCCAAAAGATTTTTTAAAAACATAATGACTTAAGTGGAATTGAAAACTACGACAGGCTTGTTTTGAATGCTGTGCATACACCGTGCACATGTTAGCCACATAATTAAAAACGCCTGCCTAACATTGTGCTGTGAAACACCTTTTACCCTTCAGGGAACGGATGTGGGACCGCTGGCTGTGTCCTGTGTTGTGTGACTGGGACACTGGCAGCAGGTCCTTTGGCTCCTGTGGATCAAACTCTCTGGCACATCCCCCAGATGCCTGTGATGTTTTGGGATTTTAGGGTTCGGTGGTCAGGGTAACACCTTGTCTTACTGCCTGGTCTATAGCAATGCCCGTGCTGGTGGTAAATGTGCAAAGATACAGCCTCATAAAATCACACATAACAGAACCCAAAGTTGTTGGGTTGCTTTAAAGTTGTTTGGCTGTTTGAGGCTTTGATCCTGCCTGAAGGTCTTTGCATCTTTACCTCAAAATGATCCCTTGGCATTAAATTCAACATAGCCTAAGAGGAAAAATGTAATATCTCACTTCAGACCACCATACAAACAGTTTTCTAGCTTCGTAGTCGGCGCAGTGCAACAGATGCCACTAGAAGGGTTTAGCAGTTTTCTTCATCCAAGTGTAGGGGATGTAATACCGGCCAGGTGGCTGCTGTGTCGTGTTTCATTGAAGCGATTGTCCTCTCTGATAATGACATCAGATACAACTGAGCAACTCGGTGTTTTAGCCCGAGAATTCGGCACCCTCGCTCACACGCTGATAAAATGCTACAATACGAGACCAGATTTGTATCTGCAGACAGAAGCTCTTTGTGTCGCTGTTTAGCATGCCAGCCCTCTCTCTCACAGATAACACGAGCTTTATCTGCAGGCAGGTTCCAGTTCTTCCAGGCTTCGGGTTTAACTGCAGGCCAAAGCATCTTTTACAAACAGCAACAAACAACTTTACCCTCCTCCTGAAGGTTAAGCACAAAGCCCGCTTGTGTAAAGCAAACGTTTGGATCCCCCTCGTTAATACACGTGCAGCCACGGAGCTGCAAGGTGTTTAGGACATTTCACCACGCAGCAGATGGCAACGTATGAGGGAGCTGGAACGGAAGCAAACTCTAATTTGCTGTTATGAAAGTTTCATGAAAGCTCAGAGCTGAGCCCACAAGCAGCTGAGTGATGTTTTCATCAGAGCAGAGAGACCTCCTTTAAATCTTTGCACCCCCTCGAGGTCTGCCATGCGTGAAGCTGGTGGCGAGCAGATGACGCCATCTTTCGTCAGCCAGACTCTGAGGGTTATAATATCGAAACTGGAAACTTGGAGCTGAGCGACGGTTTCAGCAGCAGAACGCTGTGGGTCGTACCGCAGTGTTTGAAGAGTCGTTTAAATTAACAGTTTTGATAAGTGAGGCATTAATCTGCTCACAGCTTACATTAAAAACCACAAGAAAGCAGCATTAATCACACACATGGATTTTACTTTCACACACGAGATATATTTTACTGTTATTCGAAAGGATTCATCATATTTATGTCTGCGGATTTGCTTTAACAACCTCTGCTCGAGCAGACACGCTGAGATAAACCCACCGAGGTTTATCTCTGAGGTTCATCAGAGGACAGACGCCTTCAGGAGTCGGTGGAGACCAAACCTGAACTCAAAGTGAGCGTCTGTTAGTTGATAGTGCTGTTGCTATTTTTTCATATATCTATAGATTCTATAGATATTCTAATAGATGGGCAACGCGGCGGCACTGGGTTTGATGCACATCTGGCCTTTCCGTGTGGTTTGCATGTTCTCCCCGTGTCCCTCCGGGTACTCCGGCTTCCTCCCACAGTCAAAAGACATGCAGTTAGTGGGGTTAGGTTAACTGGTGATTGTAAAACGGCCATAGGTGTAAATGTGGTTGTGAATGGTCTCTGTGTTAGCCCTGTGACAGGCTGAAAACACCCCACCTCTCGCAGGTGGAAGAGGCTCCAGCCTCCACCTCCCTGAATTGGCCAAGCAGAAGAGAATTGATGGGTGAATAACTGTTATCAGGATTATTTTATTTATTTATTTATTTTTGGACTATAATAATCAGGAAATAATGGCTGGACACAAAAATCACGAGTTAAAATATTGTTTTGTCTGTGGACACCAGAACTGTTAAGATGGTGATTCAAATTTGTAACATTTCCATTTGTCAACTTCAAGATTCAGGATTCGTTGTCACATTCATGCAAGTACAACACGCAGGGAAATGTGTCCTGATACGCTCCTCGACTGTGCAAAAAGAGACAGAACATTATATACAGTGAATGATACACATTATATAAATAAAATCTGGAAATGTACACTTCGAAATCTGAGAATGTTCATTGTGTGAGGTGTTGACGTGTCTTGTGCCAGGATCAGGCCTGACATGTGAATGTGGTAACAATGAGTCTCAGTTAGGGCTGATATGACCAAAATCTCATATCCCGATATAAGACATGTATCGTCCTGATAACGATATAAATCACAAAAATGTAACATTTTCTGTAAACTCTGTGAATCTCGGGCAGCTCGACTTGCGGGAAGTGTTTCCAGCTGTGCGTCATGTAGCTGGAGTCGAGTGTTTTAACCGATGCATGAAACGACACATCTTTAGACATAAGTTGTAACGGCCGCTGTTTTCTTTGTGAGTATTTATTACACGGCCTGCTGCGGGGAAAAGCCTGTTCTAACGTTTGAGTCTAAGGTTTATTTTTTAGCACCTGGCGGCTCTTTTTTACTTCTCATCCGTAAATAATCTGCTCTTTCACGTGACTCAGTTTATTTTGAAAAGTCTCAACAGGATCTTGAGCTTTATTGTGAAAGGTTTATGTGGAACATAAACAAGCGGACACGCGAAGGTGTTACCGTCGTTGTTGCTAACGACAACGCATAAAAACAGGCGCTTGTCCGTCTGTAGTGTGGTTATATTAAATATAAGAGAAGTTTTGCTACAAATTATTACATTTTTAAAAACGTTGCTATCATAAAGGTTGCTGGCATTATTAAAGATGTCCTAATTACTGATATACAGCGTTATAATGAAGTGTTTTTCTTTGAGGTGGCGCACAGCTTTGAAGTTATAATTAAAGATTATTCAGACTTTGTAATGATTATCCTCATTTGCTAAGTAGAAAGGTGGGAGAGATCCTGTGGGTACGAGAAGGTAAACACACAGCCCGTACAGCAGGTTAGTAGCTGTTACCTCCTCTGGATTGTCCGCTCGGGTTAGTTTCAATCAATAATCATCTGCTCCAATCAGCACCTGATTAGGCTTTAAAAAAAAACATCTTCCTTCAACTGTCTCTCTCTCTCTGAGTCAGCAGGTTCATCACTAGAGTCTCCAGAGAGCAAAATATGTGTTACTTTTAATTCACCGGTCCTAATAAATATCAAATGTGGCTGATCTATTTTGTATTCAGGGTGTGAACAGAGTGGGGCTCATCTGGGATTTGGATCTCAGGGTCTCTGAAATCTGACCAGAATGCTTCTCCTTTATTTCAGTGCGTGCCGTATTCTTTCCCCACAGCTGAAAAAGTGTCCACGGGCAAACCTCCGTGGGCTCTGTCGATGAGGAAAAAACCTCGTCTCCTCTTCTGCAGCTGCAGGAGCAACAGTTTACATACCATTAAAGCTTCTGTAGCAGTGTAATTCAGTGTTGTGTAGCTGGTCCCAGTCGGTGAAATTTGCAGTACAAATCAAGCGCACCCGGCCTCTTCCCAGATGTGACGGACACGGTGCGGTGCAGAGGTTCATTTGTTTTACGGTCGAACGATTAAGAGTCTGAAAGCCAAATTCTCATCTGTCACCAAAGCGTCTGATAGCATGAACACACACACAGACACACACATATAAAGTGATGTTCTCTGGCAGAGCAAAGCTCAACAGGCATGACTTTCACTCCAGCAGCAAATCTTGAAAAATTCATGAGCCCAGAAACAAACTCGCCCTGTCTCGAGGCGTTCTCTCCTCCCAGCTGTAATTTCCATCACGCTCGCTTTTTGTCTCTGTTTTTGTGAAGAATGAAGATCTTGTTGCCTTTCCACTAACATCGCCCTCCTTCCTCCGTATTTCTCTGACAAATTAAGTGCATCACCTTAATTTCCCCGCACGCTGTCGAGTCACTGAGCTGCCAAGATCTCATTTTATCAGGATACTTCATCAGCATTCGGTCTGCGTCTCAGCAGAGCTCCAACGCTGTAAAACATATTGGGAGCAGAGTTTTTGCCATTATTGGTTGCCAAAATGAGTCACGTCACAGGGCTCGTTTCTAAGAAAACGTGCTCGCGTGATAAACTGTGGTGATATTTTAGCTGTAAAAATGCTGCCATTTAAAGAATTTACTGGTGGTGATAACTGAGAAAAGTTCCTCCAATCTCCCGTTTTATTCACGGGCATCTTCATGCACATTTTAAGATGTTCAAGTCAGCTGATCACCTGTTCACGAGCTGAGATTTAGACAGTTTTGCAGCTGACTTTGGCTGTTTGTATGCCACTTGTACGTTCACTCAATTTGATTCAAAAACCTTTTTGAACTCTGTTGCATTTTTAAAGCATCGGTCCTTCCAGCTGCAGGTCTGGGGTCACTGGGGTGCATTCAGAGTTTCTAGTAAATTAAATATTGTCTTAAAAAAAGACATGCAGTGAGTTTCCATTAATAAAAAAACATGCATTTGCCAGACCTCTAACATATGTAACAACTTGATAGACTGACACTATAATATATGTGTATGACAGATGTTTAATACAAGTGATGCAAGCAGTCGTCTGTCTAAACCTGGACCGCACATGTCATGTTGGGTTGCACATGGCATCTGTTGTTATTGCTGTTAACCGGAGCTGCTCTCCATTCCTGAATAAATGCAACTCACAGTTATGCAGTGGTCGTTAGTTTGGCTGCCTCTGATGAAGTATGTACCAAACATGTTCAGTAGGGGGCGTATTGGGACTGAGGACAGGCCATGTGGAGGTTTTCCTTCCTGCTGTGATTGGTGCTTGCTAGTAGAGGATTGTGTGATTGGAGGGGTTTTCCCTCTAATGTTGTAGGTCTGCACCTTAACACTGTTGTTGGGATTTGCATTTACTTGAAATGAACTGAAACAGCTGCGAGACCCGGGTGCTTCCATCCCTGCCATCCTGGTGTCTCTGTCCAGTCGTTTCCACCAAGGACCATCAGAGGTGGTTCTCTGCTGCAGCAGCAGCTCCGATACTTCTGCTAGCATCCCGCACGTCTCCAGCCCGACCCCGGTCACCTTCAGCACAGATGATCTGAGCGTACACTGTTTTTGTTATGTTTTTGGGTTTCAAAGAGACTAGAATGATTCCTTCAATCCATTTCTTAGATTGAAAATTCAGAAAGAATGTCGAGTGCTGCTCTGCTGGATATTTCATGGTTATTATTTATGGTTACAATTTATAATCTCATTCTTTTTACTGATTGTGTCTTTTAGTTCCTCTTCCTGTCTG